TTAATCATAATAATAATTTTTAAAAAAAAATATATATATATATATATATATTTCTGGATCATGTGATACTGAAAATTAAGTTCACCTTTTAAAGTATATTCAAACAGACAACAGTTATTTTAAATTGTAATAATATTTTACAATATTACTGTTTTACTGTATTTTTAATCAAGCAAATGCAGCCTCCGTGTGCATAAGACACTTTCAAAAATATTTACATAATTACATAAAATTTACAATATATTTATTTAAATATTTATTCAAACTCTTGAGTGGTAGTGTATATGATGGTGATCTTATGTACTCATAGGAAACAAAAATAATACATTTGATCATCCACGTTTATTTTATAGCTCCATAGTCTCTAAGTAATTTTAGGAGAAATATCAAATCTTTCTCTATAAAACCTCTGAACAATAATGTTCGAAATCTGAGGATTTTCTAAAATGAGAAAGAGAGAGCAGTTAAGAGACGGAGAGAGATGGACAGACAGATTTGAGGGTGTGTTGGGTGCACCTTTGTTGAATGTTGATGAGACAGAACAAGACGGGTTTGTGCGAGATCTTGCACAACTGCAGCCACTATCTGAAAGAGCTTCAGTGTGAACCGCAGATGTGTTGTGAAGGTAGCACAAACATTTGATGAGACCTGACATATAGTTACTATGCAGATTCAAGGTGTGATGTTACTTTTCTAAACAATCTAACTTGTGATTTTCACCTGGCGATAAATGATAAAAACAATATTTGACTAAGAAACCACCCCAAAAAAATGAGCAATTGCACATCAGCGTGCTAAAATCATTCTGAACATGTAAGCAACCATAAAGCAGGCATTGTGGCGATGACTGAAGCACCAATCGCTATCTTTAGAAAATGTAAAAATTTAGTTTTATTTTATTTACATGCTTTCAAAACTCTTAGCGTGTGAATATTGGCTGGCTGGCGTTGCTTCACAGTCGTTCTTCACTGGCTAGCTTTATGTGGCTCCACCTTAAAGCTGCCAGTTGAAGAGCTGTTGTGGGTAACCATAACAACAGACCACCAGAGGGGGCGTGGTCTAGAAAACTGTATGAGTCAATCAGAATTCATGAACATGTTTTATTAATCAGATGGGTTTTTTCCCCTAGAATTATACTGACGAGGTTGGACGAGAAACGGACAGACAGGTGTGTGTGAGTGTGCGAGTGTGTGCGCGTGCGTGTGTGTGCGTGTGTGTGTGTGTGTGTGTGCACCTCCACTGCCCTTAAAGTCAATATAAACATACAGAAACATCTTACCTCAGTACACTGATATATTTCTGTCTGGAACTGTCTGGACTTACAAATGTAATATGGTAATTCCAGTCTCACTTCAATCTGTACTCCTGATCTTCTTGCCATAATAGTTTGTTCTCTGACAGGAAGCCAAACAGGTGCTATTACAAATCCAATCCTCTGGGGTTTCTCTGTCACTTCAAACCTATTTAGCATTAACCCATCTTAAGGTCAAATGTCTCAGTCGGTGTTGGTGTTGATTTTATACCCACAGCGAGTGATGATGCAGATTGTCCAAGAGCTGTGCCGGAGACCTGGACTCAACAAATGTGGCTTCGAAATGCCCACGATATACATCCCCAACCATCAAAATGTAAGAGATGATGGTAGCAGATTGCTGTGCTGGTTAAATGTCCGTGGTTTTCCTCCTAGAAGTGACATGAGTAATGGAAGTCTGCCCATGCTGCACTGCTGTGTCAGAGGAAATTGATTTATGTCTCTCTGCAGCATTTACATTAATTAGTTCTGTCTGTCAGCAGGGACACTTCTCTTAAAAGCCCAACTTAAAGGGATAGTTCACCCAAAATGAAAATTTGATGTTTATCTGCTTACCCCCAGGGCATCCCAAGATGTAGGTGACTTTGTTCTTCAGTAGAACACATATGATGATTTTTAACTTTAACCGTTGCAGTCTATCAGTCGTATAATGCATGGCAATGGTAACAAAATCTATGAGAGTAAAAAAAACATGCACAGACAAATCCAAATTAAACCCTGCGGCTCGTGACGACACATTGATGTCCTAAGACACGAAACGATCGGTTTGTGCCAGAAACCGAACAGTATTTATATCATTTTTTACCTCTAATACACCACTATGTCCAACTGTATCTCCGTTTGTGTTCTACTGAAGAAACAAATTCACCTACATCTTGGATGCCCTGGGGGTAAGCAGATAAACATCAAATTTTCATTTTTGGATGAACTATCCCTTTAAAGGAGAAATGGACTGATGCTAATACGACATAAAAGATAAACTTGATTTCAGGCTGCTTTATAATGCACTACCGTTCAAAAAAATAATAATTTTTAGCTTACTTAAGCTTTTTTAAAATACTTTTATTTGCATGGACACAAATTGATCAAAATATACAGTGCAGATGTTTATAATGTTAGAAATATATTAAAATAAATGCTGTTGAACTTTCTATGCATCAGAAAATGTTGGTTTCCACAAAAATATTAAGCAGCAGAACTGTTTTCAACATTGATATTAGTAAAAAAAAAATAATAATTCTTGAGCACCAAATCAACATTTTTCATCTGCTAAAAATGCAGTTGTTCACGTCCTTAAAGGGTTAGTTCACCCAAAAATGAAAATTCTGTCATTAATTACTCACCCTCGTGTTGTTCCAAACCTGTAAGACCTTCGTTCATCTTCGGAACACAATTTAAGATATTTTTGATGAAATCTGACGCTGACGTCATTAGGCCAGATCTGGGTCAGCGCCGCCACACGCTTACGTCATGATACTGTCGGGAACGCGCATCCTCAAGTGACGCAGTAGAGACAAAAATGTGGAATAAAGTCGTTATTTTTGTTTTCTTTGCGCAAAAAAGTATTCTCGTAGCTTCATAACTTTACAGTTGAACCACTGATGTCACACGGACTACTTTGTCGATCATCTTGGTACTTTTCTGGACCTTGAACGTGGTAGTTACCTTGCTGTCTATGGGAGGGTCAGAGAGCCCTCAGATTTCATCAGAAATATCTTAAATTGTGTTCCGAAGATGAACGAAGGTCTTACTGGTTTGGAACAACACGAGGGTGAGTAATTAATGACAGAATTTTTATTTTTGGGTGAACTAACCCTTTATTTTATCTTTTTCAATGGCAATGCCAATATGCATATGCGACTTTGTTGGTAATGACCATAAAATAATTCTTCATTCCATTAGTCCACTTTTTGCTTTACAATGTTATTGCGTATGATACTACTACTATAGATAGTTGATGAAGTGAATATAAAATTATTTAAGTTTTGTTTTTGTGTGTTTGTGTGTGCAGCCCAGCAGATGCATCAACCAGATTGATGAGGTTTGTGAGACCATTGAGAAGAGCATAAACCAGGCAGTGCAAAAAACACTTGACCAGCTGGAGAAAGACTGTAACCTGATCATCTCTACCATCAACCATACACTGGAACAGGACCGGTACGCATCCATCCATCCTCACTATATCACATCATCTGCTCTGCATCATGACTCTAGAGCTCATATATGTAATGTTTATCAGCTTTGCATGTATTTGTCTTCCCTCAGGATGAATGTGAGCAGTAATAAAAGCAATCGTTTTAATTCTTTCCTGTGTGGAGTTGTGGGAATCTTCCTTCCATCGCTCTTCATCCTCAGCTTCATCATCAGCACCTTCGCTCCAGAGGAACTGGACTCTCTTGTTGGAGAGGGATTGGCTAAAACGCTCTACTTTTCCACAGTATGTTCTTATTTTCTGGAGATTAAGATCCAATCACAGGTGAATCTGTGTTTTATTTTGTCTGTGTACCTGTGTGTGTTTATTAGGGAATAGTTGTGTATCTGTGGGACTGGATTCCTGAAGATTGGCAGATAATGTTTGTGATCATCTTTGGTGCTCTGTGCTATTTTATGTTCCTCTTGGCCAAGTATTTTGCAAGGTGAGCAAAATTGTCTCTAAATGTTTTGTTTTATTGTCACAAGGGGGCACCATATCTCTGACATTGTTTACTTTTTTTATTTATTTGACACTTTATCTTTTGGCTTTGGAAGAGCTATTTATTCAACAGTGTACAATGCAGTGTGTAATGTACACAGTATGCAAATTTTCTGTATGGAATAGCCAGATACTACAATAATATTTTACAAATTTTTTTATTAAAAATCAATATATAATAGAGTATATAGCATGGAATAACATATCCCACAATGCAATGCACTTAACTTGACTTAACTTTTTCCAGTGCAACATATTAAGTATTTTTACATCATTTTCTCCACTTTCACAATGCAAACATACATTTTTACATACTGTTGGTTCAAAAACTGCAAAATTACCAAATTTGTTCACAAGACAATACTCACAGAATTCAATATGCATGTAATGAGGTCTAGTGACAAACATGATCATTTGCATTATGCTTACTATTTTACATACTATTTTGAAAGGTCAAGTTAGTGTCACCAAACAGAATGGCAAAATAATGACCTGCCTGCATCACACTGCATCTCCTTCATATTAATATGGTAGCACTTTAGATTCTGCATGAGCTTATTCTTGATCCCTTAACCTTCCCCAATACCTAAACATAACTACTATAAACAACTACCTTACTTGCTATCAACAGCAAGCAGAAAGCTTTTTATAACCTACACTCACTCAGGGATTTTACCAGAAAAGATTTTAGATTTTTCTATCAAATGTTAATTTAAAAAATCTTGTATAATTTTAACTGCTGTATTTTTGTGTTTGCATTGTTTTTATTTTGTGTTTATGTAACTCTTGTATTATTCCAAGTACATTTTTGCCATGAAGTTAGCCTTAGATGCTACTTAGATTACTACTACTACTGCTACTTACTATCAATAAGCAGCAAATTAGGTTTATTAAGGGAAGACGCTTAAAAACCCTAATCTAAAGTAGCATTAATATATATTAATTTATGTCAAGATATACAGTATCTGAAAAATATATCAAGATTTTAATCTAATGCAGTCAATGAATGCTAGTGTTTAAACTCAGTATACTGTGCCACTTACTGTAATTCAATTCTTGAGCTGATTTCTGTTTTTTAATGGTCACTTCATTGGTTTAACAGCAGCCCTCTCAATGCTCTGATCTCCTTCAGTCAGGGCAGTAAGACGCTGACAAAAAGAGAGAAGAAACAACTGGCAGAGTACAGTGACTACATCCAGGATATCGTCAAATCCAAGAAGGTACGACATACTTTAAGCATCATTGTGAATATCATAATTACACTGTTTTTTTAGCCATTCATTTTCCTAAAGATGTACATTAGTCTCACAATCCTTGCTTATGTTGAAATTTACATTACTGTTCAAAAGTTTGGGGTCTTCAAGTTTTTACATGTATTTATTTATTTATATTCAGCAAGTATGCATTAAATTGATCAGTGTAGACATTTATAATGTAACAAAAGAATTATATTTCAAATAATTGCTGTGTTTTTTGTAACTTACTCATAGGATCTTGAAAAAAGTTTATCATGGTCCCCCCCCCACCCCAAAAAAAAAAAACACTTTAAGCAGCAGAAACTGTTTTCAACATGAATAATAATATCAAATGTTTCTTGAGCAGCAAATCAGCATATTAGAATGATTTCTGAAGGATCATGTGACACTGAAGACTGGAGTAATGATGCTGAAAGTTCAGCTATGCATGACAGGAATAAATTACATTTTAAAATATATTAAAGTAGAAAACAGTTATTTTTTAAATTGTAACAATATTTCACAAAATTACTGTTTTAACTGCATATTTGATTGAATGCAGCCTTGATGAGCATAAGAGACTTCTTTCAAATACATGATAAAATCTTACCAACCCCAAAAATTTGAACAGGAGTTTGTTTCGCTAGTGTTTAGAATTTAAACTGAAGTAGCAAAAATGGTGTGAAAGTGATTCATTACTTAATAAATTCTTTATTCATTTCTGTGAAATTGTTCGTTTAATTCCATCCACTGCTTATTTTCAATTTACAAATGTTAAAATGTTGTAAAAAATTATTATTAATATGACTTTTTATAACTGTTATACAATTTAATATAGTTTGCTCCTGTGTTAATTTAGAGCAAAACTAAAAACCATTAAACCAGAGCAGTTTAACCAGCTTGGCTTGACTGTGAGACCAGCTAACCACCTTAACCTCCATGTTGGTTTTTCAGCAGAGATGTGAGAGAACTGAAAACTGAACCTGCGTTTGAAATATAAGCCTTTCAAAGGATTCCGTCTTCTAATCTTGTAATATTTGTCATCTTTATCTTAGCGGAAGCTGTATGAGGAGTATCTTCGCCAGTGTGCTGCAGAGTATGATTTCTGAAGGAAGCCTGCATGAAACCCGTCGGTCACATCAGAGTCGTCGGAATAATTCATATAAAGCACATCCCACAGCAAAATCCCCCGAGTTAAATCAACTCTGCTCAGAGTACATATTGTCCCAATCTACAGAGTGTTAAAGTAACACTGAAGCCGAGTTAAAGTTAATGGGACAATAAAGCGATTAATTAAGTAATGATTGAGCATTAGTAAAGAAAACCCACTGTTAACAATGTTGAACATGAACAACTACTGCTCAGGCTTTTAGACATGAAAACTTATCACACAATCCTCAACAGTGGTAACTCTGCTTCAGTGTTACTTTAACACCCTGTAGATTGGGACAATATGTACTCTGAGCAGAGTTGATTTAACTCGGGGGATGCATGTGTAAAACAATGATGTAGTTTCATATTTACATGAGTGAGAAGAATAACAAATCGGTGCCTTTTTGTTAAATGTGAATAGTGTTGAACAAAATGTGATATACAAACATGACCTCGATATTATCTTACACCAGCTAGTTTTTCTATATGAATCATTTTTAATAATTAGACCTTGAACTGTTTTTAGCCAATAAGCTACATTATCACCATGTAATGACAAAATTCTGAGACATTAGCCTGGTTTCTGTGGCCTTCTTTTGATCTCCAGGAGCACTGTGGGAGAAAACAAAGGTACCAAATTCAACCTCATATACTCTTTACACAGTGTTTATATTATTAAGTGACATTTCTACTTTTTATAATGTAACAATGAAGAATTTCTCCCAGCAGCCACAGAAAAAGCACTTGAGGTCTTTCTGTCATTCATATGTATGTGAATGTACTGTTGCATGTTTGTCTATGTATATGTCATTTAAATGTGGTTTTAAAACGATTGTTTTGTAGTGTTCTGAAGTGATGCTGCCTAAAAATGATAACATTTTAGAATTATTCTCTTAGGGCATTGTTTTATGAATACTAAGGACTTGCATCTTTTTTTTTTTTTTTGAGAAATAGCTGGGTTTGAAGATGTAAACTAAGTGAGAGTCTTTTACTCTCTTAGAGTTTTTTACCCATCCATATATACAGGGTGCAGGGTAATTTCATTATTAATTTTTTTTTTTATTTTATTTATTTTTTTTTTATTAGCTCATTTATTTTTCAGCTTTTTAAATGTAAGAAACTGTAGCACTTCCATGACTTTTAAATGAACATGCATTTACCTCAGTGTTGCAAAAATGCTTTTTATTATGACTGCAATAATTCAGATTTCATAGCATATTGTTATACTGATTTTCCAAATGGATGTTATTTTAAATTGAAGGCTTTAAAATGTGTTTTTTTATAGCTATGCTGAGTTTTATCGGTCTTACAGAACACAATGTCCTCTTTGATTGACTCAAAACTTTGTATTCCACTGTCTTATACTATGATCAATTGCTTGCTGTGTTTTCTGTGAGTAGATTTGAAAGGACAAGCAGCCCAATAAAATGTTATAGCAACAAATTTATTCATCTTTTTTTTATTATTCCACCAGAACCTGTCCCATATGACTGAAACCTCCAATCCCTGAGTTAGTACCAAAGAAAAGCTATAGGAGGCCAGAGCTACAAGAGAAGCATTCGTTATTATTGCGTACAATCTAAAAAAAAAACAATCAACAATCAATCAGTCCGTCATCAATAAATCCTTTTACGATTAGTCAGAAAATACAAGCCTCTTATAATACGAGCATTTCTATAGATAAAGTTATAGCTTTAAATATTTGTCGTCTTGTGCAATTTACTAGCAGGGCAAGCACAGTTCCCATGAGCAAGAGGTATATTGTCATTGTTTCAGGCCAGTCCTGGTGCACGGGGTCATGCTTCAGTTTGGGGTGAGAACATTCAAAATGACAGTATCGCTTTATTGCCATGGAGATTATACTGTAAATTTGAACTTGAAATACTTCATGGCTGGAAGAATTCAATAAAACATTCGGCGATTCATGAAGCCTGTCAATAACACATCCAGGTCATAGTTTACCTCAAAATCATAAAAGAAAAAAAATATATATATATATATTGCATAAAGAAAATAACGTCTAAAAATATACTGTATTACAGTAATAAGTGAAACATTGAAGTAAGGAGGAATGTGCTTAATTCTCGTGAAAATAATGCCCTCAAAATGTGAAAAAAGAAATAAATGTTTTTTAAATCAGTAAATATTAAATACAGTACAACAAATACTGCTATGATTTATACATACTTGAAATAAGATCTAAATAAAAAAAAATTTTCACAATTTTATTTTTCCACTGTTATTTTGCATTACAATAATGAGAATTTGGGGTAAATGTTATGAAAATAATGTCACAATGAGGAAAAAAAATGCATTTCACAGGCTTCATTTTCTTTTAATCAAAGTATATCTATATTTTTTTTGGGGGGGATTTTGGATTTTGGCTTTGTGAGATTCACCCATCTACCTGTGAATTTTGATATATGTATGATAATACTATATCATACATTATATTTGATTTATATTCATAGACATTGACATATGGACCTTGTTACCTTCCCTGAATAATGATCCCACAGATCCTTTGGGAGAGTCTTAATGAAAACTAATGCCCTATGCATATGAATTATCATGCATCTACTCTCTACATCTACAAACTGCCACAAGCGAAGCTGCATATTTTGATGTGAGCCAGACATCAGCTCTGTTCTCATTCCCATAGCCTGGCTATTCAGTAGAAAAAAGTGCAGTCTTATTGTTTGAATGTATCTTCAGTTAACAGCTATATACAAAGTCACATGTACAAAATAAAATATGACAATTCCCCTTAACCGCTCTCCTGTGAACATTGTGTACAGGCAGATGCTTCATGCAAAAGATTCGACCAACCCGCGAGAGAGAGCGAGAGAGAGAGAGAGAGAACTGTCCCGTCTAGAACGGAGGGTTAAAAACCAGGTATGGCTCATTTGTTAGTGCTGTGAATGGATCCAGGGCCAGAGAGGTGCCACCTCACGGGGACGATGTTCTCGGCACGGCCCAGGTGCTCGGGTTAGGACGGCGTACGTCTCCCATCTAGTTTCCCACTTAACCAGCTGCAGCACTAAGACTACGTCTGTTACAGGAGATCGTCCAAGTTTGGCAAGGAAAACTCAAGGAGCTTGCTGTGCTGAGCTGATCACATCCTCACTGCGAGCCTTTGTCGATCAGCCATGACATGTCTCCTGTCCTGCAGGGAAAATAATACAATGCAGAATTTCGAAAATCGGTCAATGTCCTTTTTAGTTAAGAAGGTTCAAATGCAAGTAGTATGTGTCAGAGTTATAATCATTAACTAAAACTGTTAAAAATATTTTTTGTTAAATGAAATGAAGCTAAAAAAAATAAAAAAATAAAATAAAATATTAGGTGAAAAACTTGAAAGTTCAAACTGAAGTACTAAAATTACTAACTGAAAAACTAAAACTAAAATTAAAATAATTTTAACTTAAATAGTAATATAAAAAAAAAAAACATTCAAAAATTGTAAGCATCAGTTACCGTCTATTATTCTAGCTAAGAAGGTTAAAATGCAAGGAGTGTGTGTCAGGGTTATAATCGTTAACTAAAACTATTACAAATATTTTTGTTAACTGAAATAAAATAAAAAATATTAGGTGAAAAACCTAAACTAAATGAAAATTATATAGTGAAATTTGAAAGTTCAAGTTCAAAAAACGTACACCGAACTAACAGTACAACAGTACAATGGACATAAAAATAAAAATAAACTTAAATAATTTTTTTTTTTTTTAAAGAAAGAAAAAAAAACATAAAATACAAAACATTAAAAAAATTAAATTAAAATGTAAAAATATTAAAATAAAAACTAAAAATATGACAATTAAAGCTAATTCAAAATAAAAACGTCTTAGTGTGCCCTATTTTAACTAAGCGCATGGTCTAAAGCGCACGGCGCAGGTGAGGGCGTGTCCGAATCCACTTTTGCTAGTTTAACGAAGGGAAACGGTCTGCGCGCCCGGTCGCATGGTCTAAACGGGTTGTCCCTATTCTCTTAATTAGTAATGGGTGTTTTTTTGGGGCGTAACGTGCAATAAACCAATCAGAGTCTCATCTCCCATCCCCTTTAAAAACCAGTTGCTCTCGCGCCATGGCGGGGTCGCTATTTACATGGCGGAATGTAATTTTTCATTTTTAAAATTGTTTTTGTGCTGCTGCGCGTCCCTGTGTGTGTAATAAGCAAAGTGTATGCGCGTTGTGCACCGGCCTATAGGCGCATATTATTAACGCGCTCTTTAAATAACAAAGAAAAAATATTGCGCCAGACTTTAGACCAGGTTTGATGCTATTGAGGCTATTCAAAATAGCAACGCGCCAACAATGCGCCTGAACACACCACTTTTTTAGACCAGCATGCCCATGGGCGCACAAATGGGCGCAAATGCATTTGCTATTTAAAGGGGTCATATGATGCTATTTTAAAGATCATTATTTTGTGTATTTGGTGCAACAGAATATGCTGACATACTTTAATGTTCAAAAAACACATTATGACCCCTTTAAACAATACGGCGCAGGACGGGAAAATAAGAACTGCGTCGGGGCTGAAACTAGCAAAAACACTTGCGCCGCATTGCGCCGGGTGTATGATAGGGCCCAGTATGTTAACAATACTAAAATAACACTGGTGCAGGTCTTATGTTAGACACAATGTAAAATAATGTAGGTCATGTTTCCACACTTGCCAGGTTGCACAAGCATTCTTGAATTAAGAGTAAACGCTTTTGAATGAGGCAAAAATAAACTCATTGTAATGGGGATTTTCTCATACTCTGTGTCGTAAACTGAAAGAAGTCTCTTATGCTCACCAAGGGGCATTTATTTGATCAGAAATACAGTTAAAAAACAGCAATATTATGAAATATTATTACAATTTGAAATAACTCTTTTCTATTTGAATATATTTTAATATGTAATGTATTCCTGTAATGCAAAGCTGAATTTTCAGCATCATTACTCCAGTCTTCAGTGTCACATGATCCTTCAGAAATTATTCTAATATGCTGATTTACTTATTATATTTCTTATTATAATCAATGCTGAAAACAAGTCTGAACTGTCACTTTTGCGTTGACATGTTTAAACCATGGAAAATCTTACTACATCTGTTGTTTTCTGTGAAAATAGAAAATGTTCTTACTCCACGTCACGTTTCCTAATCGTCTTTCCAGAGCCAAAGACTTCTGCAACCCGTGACACAATGGGGTCGTAGTTCATACTGGCCACGGCCACCACCTCCTCACTCCTGTAATCACCGCAGATCAAACACACAACACACACGGGAAATACTGTAAGAACTCAAATATTAGTAAGCTCTGCTACAACAGCAATAATGTAGTATAATATTAAATACTTCTATAAATCATATAATAATACGTTTTTACATTTTCTGAAGTAAACTGAATAGTGCTTGTCCATGCAAGACTCACAGTCACAATGCAAGTAGTTGCCAGGTCATTTCTAAGCAGTTGCTAAGGTGTTCATGAGTGGGTTTATGGAAAAAATACTATGGAAGTCAATGGCTACCAGCAACTGTTTGGTTATTAACATTCTTCAAAATATATTCTTTTGTGTTTAACAGAAGAAAGAATTTCATATAGGTTTGGATGGAACAACATGAGGGTGAGTAAATGACAAAATGTAGATTTTTTTGGGGTGAACTGTCCCTTTAAGTATGTTGCAGTGTGTTTGCATAAAACACTAACTCTATATAAGCAATTATAACGGTGATATTTGCCTTAGCAAGTGACGCCCAGTAAATCTGGTTATTATTTTGATCTATTTCTTTCATCTGTGAGATTAAGATCTTTTTTCACTGTGATTTTATTTATTCCTTTCACTTTTTATTACCACAGCAGCCCAAGAGACCGGAGTCATTAAGGCCAGAATAAGAATAATGCAGTTAAGATAGTAGATTATATAAATTGTACAGATATTGTACAGATTGTGTCTTTAAAAAAGCATAACCGCATAATATTTGCAACGATTAACATAATTAGCAATATCCAATATTAATCGCAGAAACTATAGTTCAGTCCCTGCAACTCATTTTAATCAGAGACTCAGTTATAACTAATCAATAATGCTTTCTGAGTAAATCACTTGTGTAAAAGATTTAAGTTGTCAATTGTTTTTTTATTGAATTTTTTTTTAAATATATTATTTTTATATTATTATTTTTAAGTACTCTGATCAGTTACATTAATAAAACGACATGATTAATTCATAATTGTATGAACCCTATTTAATCTGACTACATACTGTTGTTTTATTAAATTATAAAACAATTAGAATAAAACAAAACAATAAAAATATATGATTATTGCAATAGTATAGTACCATAAAATAAAAAATGAGTACTTCATGATAATATACAACAATATAATCATTTCCTTATCTAAATTAGAAATGATTTTTGATGTGATCATTTTAATAATTATAAATGCCTGGCTCAAATTTAGAGAAATAAGAAACAAATCAACTCACTTTGTGTAGAATGCCACAAATTTCAGTTCATCCAAATCTCCCTGGATGACGACATCATCAAAGCCGTCTCCATAACCTTGACAATAAGATTAAAAGCACTTGTGATGCATCAGAGGAGCACTGACGCTGAAACTAAAGTGTGGCGCTTTTTTTTTTTTCATGTGTATTTTTAGTGCTAGACATTTGTCCTTACCTGCATATCGTATGCTTTTCCCAAACATTGCTGTCCAGAAATAAGGCACCGTTTTAATGTCTGAGGCCTTTCCCATCATGCTAAGGGCAGCCACTCTACCTGTGGTGGAAGACCACGTAAAAATGTAAAAATGAATGAAATATTATTTATTATTAATAAAAAATGGCATCTTTGGCATAAGCACATGAATACATCCCAATGTGCTACAGGTCTTACCGTGTACGTGAGCCATCTGCCAGTGGGGTATGTTCACCTTCTTATTGCTACGTAGAGCTAGAGGAAACGTTACCACATCACCCCCAGCGAAGACCCCGTCAATGTTCGTCTGCATGGTCTGAAAGGGTTAAAGGTATATGTTTACATACGCTTTGTACTGTAGCTTGTCCTTTGTAGCTTATTATCATAAAATACTCAGCATACTAAAACAACTATTTATTACTGCTACAATAGACACAAGCATGGGCAGATTAGCACAGGCTGCAGAAACACACACGTTCTGAATGGCACCAGATGTTAATGTGCTAGAAGATGCAGTAACAGATGTACAGTACATATGGAACAGCAGTGCAGAAAGACTGAACCTTATTGACTGGGATGAATCCTTTGGAGTCCATGTGCACTCCGCTCTGCTTCAGGAATGCTGTGGCTGGACTGGAGCCTAAACACACACACACACACACACACTTATGATCAGGACCCCAGAACAAATTTTTATTTTATATTGGGGCATGTTGTCACATGTGTTTTAAATCTTTGCTTTGCTTTGCTTTGTTTCATGAATGCTTTTGTATTTCATAAATGTTTTGCTGTTTAAATCTTGCTGAACAGCCTAGTTAATTAATTGCAAGTTTAGTAATGTGACAACATGCCCCACTATGTTCAGTGAATGTATTTTTAGACACACACACACACACACACATATATATATGCTACTGTTCAAAAGTTTGGGGTCAGACATTTTTTTAAAGAAATTAATACTTTTATTTAGCAAGGATGTGTTGAATTGGTCAAAAGTGACAGTTAAGACTTTTAGAATGTTACAGATTTTTTCTATTTCAAATAAATGCTGTTATTTTGAACGTTCTATTCATCAAAGAATCACAGAAATAAATTACATTTTAAAATATATTAAAATAGAAAAGTTATTTTAAATAGTAAAATTATATTCACAAAATGACTGTTTCTACTGTAATTTTGATCAAACAAATGCAGCATTAGTGAGCAAAAGAGACTTGTTTCAAAAACCTTAAAAATTTATATTTATTATTTCTTTTTGTAGCCAAGACTACAATGGGACTTGAAACGGGAAAGTGAGAGAAAAAATGAAAAATGAGAAGCCAAATTTCAGTAATCACACAGACTCACCTATGCCAATAACACAGACGTCAGCTCTCAAGACTTTGCCACTTTTTAGAACCACTTCTTTTAACTATTGAAATAAAAATAAAAATCAGTTTAACATTAATGTCATAGTTGCCAATTTTCTTACCACCATGACTTATAATACAGTGTCCAAATCTCATTACGTTATTTCTTCAGGAAGAAATATTTATCAAAGTGTAATTTCATAATAGATCACAGTTCTGCTTCTTCTCAATTATATATTTACTTTGCTGACTGTGTGCTCACTTGTGTTATGAGTTCTGGCCTTTTAACCCAGGGCCAATCCATTATTGCAAAAGCCATGTTTGAAAATATTCAAAGCTAAGCAGTGCTACTGTGAGAGCAGATGTAATTAATCACTCTACATGAACGAGAGCAAAAGAAAGAGAGGGACAGAGAGAGAGAGAGAGAGAGAGAGAGAGAGAGAGAGAGAGACAGCCCTACACTTCACTGAACTCTTGTTTCTCTCACTTTAATGATACCTGTCCATTATGCCCTCGCATCTCCCACACTTCGTTCAACATGTAGAACTTCATTCAGTTTGACTCGAACAGCTAGCTCACTTCACTGAACTCTTGTTTCTCTCACTTTAATGATACCTGTCCATTATGCCCTCGCATCTCCCACACTTCGTTCAACATGTAGAACTTCACCCTGTTTGACTCGAACAGCTGAAGAGAGAAACAAAATGAAATAATTAAATGAGAGAAATACTGCTTGAATATAGGTTTAATGTGGTTACAGCAAGGGATAATATACAGTCAGCAAATCATTTTCACCCTGTCAGAGTTTATTATGCAAGAAGAGAAAGACAGCACACTAAGAGAGATAAGAGAGGTGTGAAACTAGTGGTCAAGGACAACAAACAGTTATATAGTTTAATGTCATACACACTCTTTTTTTATTTAAATTGTATTTATTTAAACATGCTTAGCTTATAAAATTAGTTAAATTAATGCCAAAGCAAATGCAACTGATTTAACATTTACTAAAATATATTGTTAAAACTTAATAATTGTTTTAACATATCTACTCAGAATATATATACCAGAGATGCCGAACCAGGGCCCCATGACCTTTGATTTGGCCTTCCAAGCCATATGGTAAGAGGGGAAAAATAGGGAAAAAATTTATTTCTACTTTTTATTTCTAATTCTCTTTTTTTATTTCTAATTCATGATTTTGTTTTAATATTTTTTGTTTTATTTTTGCATTGAAATATAGAGAATACAGTATAAGTGAATTTAATTTTTTTTAAATTACAATATAGCTGGGTATAATGTAAACATGACCCTCAATGAAATTTGATTTTTGAACCTTCATAAAAAAGTTTGGGCACCTCTGATGTACACCATTTAACAATTACGTAATGCTTAAATCTTAATATTCTTATTTATTTCATTCTATATATCTAGTTATTTTCTGTCACCTTCATCAAGGCTTTTCCCACTTTTTCTCCGAGTGCTTTACGGAATGGCACGGCCTCTATGCCGATCACAGACACTGAGTGAGCCTTATCTGTGAGAGCTGCGGCCACCTCCATACCTGAACACAGGACAGTGCATATAATCATTACCAACACTATGGATATATGGAAAATATATAGTATTATGTTGTCTAATGCAATGACGGATTCATCTTAAATTGTGGCTTAAGCGTCTTAAAGGTGACACATCATGAAAATCTGACTTTTCCAGGTTTTAAGTACTATAATCAGGTCCCCGGTGCATCTACCAACCAAGGAAACGTGAAAAAGATTAACCCAGTAACTTTGTTTTGGTAAGCCTTTTTCTGCAAGCGTCTGAAAAAAAGAGAGCGTCTGATTTCGCTCCCCTAGTGACGTTGCAAAGGGATCTCATTATAATATTACCGCCCCTTAATCTGTA